GAAAATACCTTCAAAAGGAGTTCTATTTCTATAGAAGACTTACAGGAGGACTTCTATTTCTATAGAAGACCTTCAGGGGAATTTCTTTATCAATAGAAGATTTTAAGGAAGTATAAAGAAGACTCTCAGAAGGACTTGTATTTCTATAGAAGACCATCAGAGGACCTCTATATCTATAGAAAGACTTCAGAAGGACATCTACACCTATAGGATCTCTTCAGTAGGTCTTCAATGTATATAGAAGACCTTCAGGTGGACTTCTATGCCTACAGTACAACTTTAGGAGGACTTCAATATCTATTGAAGTTTCTTCAGGAAATTTTATATATCTACAGAAGGACTTTTATGTCAATAAAAGAACTTCATAAGGACTCATTGGACCTTCAGGAGAACTTCTATATCTATAGATGATCTTAAAGATAACTTCGATGTCTATAGAAGAAGACGTTTCGATTACCATCAGGAAGTCTCCTAGGCCCAAAGAAAATTCGTTGATCTCTTATAAAGCAATATGCAATATGTAATAGGCAATAAAACTTCAAAAGGACTCATTGGTTTTTCAGGAGAACTTCTATATTTATAGAAAAACTTCAAGAGATCTTCGGTGTCTATAGAAGAAGACCTTTCGATTACCATCAGGAAATCTCCTGGGCCCAAAAAAGTCTTACTGATCTCTTAAAAAGCAATAGGCCACACAGTGGTAAGCTATGCGGTGCCAGTGCGGTTTTCGAATGAAAGTGATGCACAGTAGAAGAATATTCAACCTGCCAGAATGTCGCTTTGAGCAACGTTGGTGTCACCCCTTGAGACCTGTGTACCATCTTCATTTGGAACGGAAAATCTTAACCTGCTGGTTTGTTATCGTTGGAAGTAACACTTCCATTGCCTAATGAACAAGCTTACCCCAGTCAGGCACGCCAGGAAAGATCTAGAGAGAGAGGTCAAAAGGTACAAGAGTGAATCTCTAGACCAGGCAGCAGGTGTGAATACCATTAATACGTACGAATGTATTCTTGGGGATTATCCACTGTCAATAGCAGCAGAGGACAAATATGAATATTCTTAGCTCAGCTAAGATCAAAAGTTCCCTTATAGTTGTAGAGGAATATGCTGCCAAGGTATAATTGAATCTCACCATGATCTTCTCAGTATATTTGAACGACTCCTCCTCCTCGAAAAATGATAAACAAATTAGGTGCCATATTTTTGTTTATCATATTTCGTCATGCATGTTTTTTCTCCATTTGAAACAATTTGCTGAATTATTTAATTGAATTTCTTACTGACAGTATCTAATAAAAAAATGATTAATCGAATGAATCGTGTATGAATAATTTGTGCATTCATTTTATTTTCGACTTTCCTTCTTTTTTTATTTTTTCAACATTGAATTACTTTTTATGGTGGATCTCAACTGCCTCGCATGTTGTTATTTGAATATTTTTTTTTTTGTAGTTATAATTGAATACGAAAATGTGCACGATATAGAGAAATTTCAACTGAGTCAATGAACAAATTGTTGTCTTGCATCTAAAGTAGATTTAATTAATCAGCCATTGAAGAAGTGTGCACATGTGTGTGTTTCTCAGTGCAAGTTGAGCTCTAATTGGGTAAATGTATAAAATTTGCAAAATTTAAAAAAGTAAAAAAAAAACTGTTGCCAATTTGTAAATCCACAAAAAAATTGGAAATCTGTCAACTATAAATCGTTTGCTGCCTGCAAAAGCTTTCAATACCTTTAATCTCCATCCGATCTATTCAAATTTTTATTTATTTATTCATTCATCAAAACAAATGACATTATTCGCCTTTTTTTTTATAATTGCCAATGAACTCCCTACCGCAAAGTAGAAGAAGTGTACGACGGGGAAAATATGAGAGAGTGACATAGTAGTTGGTGTAGATTGCTTATATGGTTGATTGCCCATCGCGCTAGACCTAGGTAAATGGTGGTGGCTGTGGCTGTTTAAGCAATTACTTCATACACCCACTTTGCTACTGAGCCGTTTTTTTTGTTTTATCTAAATAAGGTTTGGAATGTCGTGTCGTCATTATCATCGGTCTCAATGTTATTGGTTATAATGTGTGTGTGTGATAATGAGACAACAGACGACATAACCTCATATCAGTATGGAAAAAAATTTAAAAACCAGTGATCGAAGCAGTATATACTCCACACATATGATACCCACGAAAATCAAACTTTCTGTGGTTCTATATTTGTACCCGGCTAGAGGTCAACAAATATTACTAATATTCAGTCAAGGAGGGCTATACTTGTGCAGATTCCCTTTACCGTGGGTTATGTTGTGATGTTGGGCTTATATTCGTGGCCTATAGATCGACTCGAAAAAAAAAACACAAAAAATTACGTTTTCGGTTCACTTCATCCTAATATTATTATCTGATCATTACCGAAAATTATAGGCGTTGTTCTTGACCATACCTTGATCCTCATAGAAAATTTCAATGCGATCAGCGCTTTATTTTCGCCTTCTAGTGTGGTAATGGAATACTAAATTATATCTGAATACCTAAGCACCTGTGAATATTTAAGTGCAATTCCCCCATCCAAGTACATACGACAATATAATTAGTATCAATATAAAGGTCAACCATTCCTCTTGGATACGCTATAAACTTCTCGGGTCGATTCATTTGGCCCTCTCAATATTGACCGATCTTTATAAAAACAGGCATGCTTATTCTTTGACCCGATCCCCTTCTAATAATTCTAATTGCGGCCTCTGGAGCGACAAATCTCCTAAATATTAACCGATTTTTACTAAAAACAATAGGGGTCTTCATTGGCCAGAACCCAGCCTACATGCAAAATTTCGTGAAGATTGGCCAATAACTATGGTCTCTATCGTGTTTACAAATTATAGTGAACAGACGGACGTACAGACACACATGTCTAGATCGACTCAGCTAGATAAAACGATCTGTATACTAAAAGGTTGGTCTAGGGCCAATATCTTGCGGTGTTAAAAACTCTCGGAAACAGGCTACACAACGCTATAATACCCTGACAACATAGTTGTGCGACGTATAAAATATTCTAAAAATCTAGTTAGAAAAAATTAGACGATGTTGACGACCTTCAGCCTATCACACGCAGTATTCGTTTATCCTGGACTGTGTGAACTGTGATTTCTTAGTTATTTTAAAGGTCTTCTGAATAAAAAATCCATTGTTCGGGGGTCGAGCAATTCTGTGTTGTAGCAACTGAAATACAAGAACAAATTTATTATGATTTTTGCCTTGTTCTTCAGTAATCAAATTCAGGAAGGTTGCTTCGTCCATAGGCATTTCGGAAACAGGTGAATAGACTTAGCTGGCCAGTTGAATAGATGCAACGTGTCGTCTGTGGTAAGCAGCATGTGGTCCACATGCTGTTATCGAGCCATCAATTCGTGCCCAATAGGAATTGAGGCGGTAGCATCCTCCTGATCTTAGCTGTGTTAAGACTGCTCATGTTTCTACTTTCCTCCATTTCTATGCCTTGTGAATGGGGCACTATGTATATCATTAAAAAGGTATTGTTCTATTGTTCTACTGTATGAATCCTACTCAGACCTGTCTGATAGGCTTTTGATCTACATGAATCTCTCTCCTCCCACTCTAGATCATGAAGATCTCTTCTGACGTGCCCAGGCACGTCATGCCGTCCATCGGCACAAAATTTGGTGGTGCTGATGGACAGATATAATACGCAGAGTCAAATTCGTAAACCATACTGGGCCGCATAGCTTGCCACTGACCGGCCTATTGCTTTATATGAGGTCAATAATGTCTCCAAATATCTGTACTGTTGTTTCCTTCCTGCTATAGTTGGTTTTCGAGTAGTGAATTGTGCCTGGAAGATTCCATGATATTCTGATCTGCCAGATCGGGCTGTTCCGACCTAGATGTTTACATATCTCCTGACGTTTAGGGGTAGAGTAAGTCTGTCCAATTGGCTATAGCAAGGATTCTTCGTAGCGATAACATCCAGGAAGGTAATTCAACGACAACATAAATCTGGTATCCTGGTGTCACGACGAGACACCTGGTTGCAGGTTCTGACAGTTCTTAATGTTCTTCAACTTCGTATTACTTACAGTCGCATATGTTACCATTGACCTATAGCCAACAGTCTCCTCGTTCAGGGCGAGATTCATTTCAATCGTTCATATGGTGATCAAAGGCTACTGATTTGTAGAGCGGATATTTTCATATTTATCAGATGGAAGAAACTTAGAAGATATTTAGAAGTTTATCGTCCAGTGGTCCAGTGGTTTTGGAACATCAGAAACGTAGAAAATGACCAGTTCCGAAGAAATCACTCCACAGAGGAATCTTCGATCTGAAACGACCCGAGTCTTACTCGGCCATCGAAAGGTTAAGCGCTAAAGCCTGTTTTTGTTCAGTCTTCTGCTAATAAGTGTGGAAATAACGTACAATGCTACTGTAATTGTGGTGGTAATGACCGGGGGTGCCCAGACAATCATTCAGGACAATCAGGATTACTGCTAACATCACACAGTTAGTATTGATGTTTTTTTGTTGGGCTTTTATAGTCAGTATTTATAATGAAAATAAAACGGAATTTATTTCATTTCTACGTTTCGTGTTTTTTTTTCAATATTTTCAAGTGCTGTTTTTCTTGATATATTGATAAAATAAAAATTGAAATTTCTTTCAATGTATTGCTTATTCTGAATGGTGCACTTATTTACGATCTTTTCTCCCATTTTCTATTTATTTATTGGTCTCCAAAGGCCACCATCCTCAATTAAACTGTGGCCCTATTCGGCCTTCTAAGACTGTCACAGGACGTTAAGAAATCGTCCTCATCACCGGGTGGTGAGTTCTTAGGGGTGTACCCCTAACATCTGTTTGGAAAAGATTAACAATAACCTTGTACTATACAAATTTGATTAGTACTTTTTAAAATTTTATATTTTTCATTTTAATTAAATCTCTAATATTTTTTTCTTTTCTTCTTCCTCTTTCAGTTGCTATTTCCACAAAATCCAGAAGAAATAACAAATGTCCCAACTATGTGCTCGCAATATATAGTTTTGGGCATTTGTGAAGACTGGAAGAAAACACAATTAGATGAATTGACACGAATGATTTCACATCATACCGTAGAGGTTTCCATTATAAAAGAAGTAAGTACCTATAGCTTCCATATTTGGTAACCATACAAAAATTAATTGCTATTTGTTTTATCTTCCTCCCTCCCTCCATCCAGTTTAATCAATTTAAATTCATAACAATGAAATGGAAAGATTTCAACATCGCTGAATTTCTAATTCATCAAAAGGCAATGGGTGCACCCATTGCCAACGATTTGTTATTTGAGAATTTTTCGAAAATACTCAAGCAACAACAACAAAAACAGCAGCAGCAAGCTGCCGCCCTCAATAATAATAATATGCCAAGTTTAAATATGAATAATCAACCGAAGAATGTGCAGAACAGCAACAGCAACAACAACAATAACACAAATTATTACAATAAAAATTATCAACAACAACCGCAGCAAAAGCCAACATCTGTTGTACCACCACCAATACTGAATTCCAATAACAATAATATGGCAGGTGGTTTGGCACAACAACAACAGCAAATTTTGGCTGCCGGCAGAAGTTCTCTATCGGCACGTCTACAACAATTGCAGCATCCACATTTGCAGCAACAACATATGCAGCATATGGCCGCTGTGCAGCATGGTAATATGCGAAACATTATGATGGTAAGTAAAATTGGGTGGTGGAGGAGAAAGCCAAAACACAACAATTCACCATCACCACCACCAGCACCACTTCCTTGGGAGTTTAGACATATTTTTGGTTTCCTTTTCTCCGCATGGCTGTGGTCATGTCAAAGTGGTAATTTTCTAAACACAAATATTTAAAAACAATTTTTTGAATTGCTTTCTGTGTCAATGATTATATGATTATATGTCAAGAGCTCTACATTCTAGCCCCGCGCAAACTTTCCAAATTTTATTTTAGGCCATATATTCACGCCATAAAACAAATTATGGTCACTAAGTTTTGGTTGATTTGACCGATCATCATCTAAACAGCCGTTCTAAGTATTTGGTCAGATCCCCATAACCGTGTAAAATAAGTGATGTTCTGCATATAATATTGGCCTTTAGATCGACTAGAAAAACTGAATTTTGTTTGTTCATATATGCATGCGACATGCTCAGTTTTAATACAATTTAAAAATAATTATTAATTTTTTCCTTTTTCCTAATTCTAGTCCGGTCCAGTGCAGCCACGTATGCCTCAGTCTATTGGTAATCTACGGTCAATGATGCAAGGTAACATGCTTTTTTTAATTTATATTTCAATAACAACTAATTCGATTTATTCCTCCTGTGTTCTTTCAAGGCATTCATTTACAAAATAATCGCATTCCTTTTACCGGCTTACATTATGCTCAACAACAACCTCCGCCACCACATCATCATACATTGGTATCTGCCGCCGGGACACCAGGTGGTGGTGTTGCCTACAATGGTCTGCCTGGTGTTATGCCAACCTCGGTGCCACAATTTAATATCTATAATGCACGCTATCAAAGGCCACCACCACCCCAAACTGCTGCAGCACATCTTCAACAGCAGCAGCAACAACTTGGCGGTATGAATAACGGCATCATGGCACCTACCGCCACAACACCTCTTTCACCACCACGACGCACCACACCAGCCACATTTAAATCGAATAATTTGGTAGTCGGACAAATTTACGATGTCAGCATTAGTTTTGTTGAGAATGGTCCCTTCCTATTTTCCGTCCAATTGATAACCCATCAAGATGATTTGACCGATATGATGAATCGCATCGAAAAAGTGGAGTTGAAACCGTTTAGTGATAAACCCATGTTGGGTACTGCTTGCATTGCCCGCTACTCGGAAGATGGTCAGCTTTATCGGGCGCTCATTACTGGTGTCCAGCCAATGGCATGTAAGGTGGCCTACATTGATTATGGCAATGCTGAAATGGTACATTTCAGAGATTTATATGAGATTCCAGAGGAGTTTTTGAAATACAAAGCATTTGCCATACGTTTCACACTGTCGGGCCATAAAGAATTGGAGCCCATCGATGATAGTCTAAAGAAAGCCTTTAAAGATTTGGTTATCTATAAGAATTGTAAACTAAAGGTAATGCCTCTGGAAGGACCACCCTTAGTTCAGTATTGTGAATTGTATATGCAGGATAAGAATATTTTACATGTCCTCAGGCAAATACAGAAGACACGTTTGGTTTATGCCAAGGCAGAGCCTTTGCGTAGCAACGACGTGGTGGAAATTCGATATATTGATTCTCCCAAGAATTTCTATGTCCAAAAGGTAGAGAATATCCCGGCCTTTGAGAAGCTAATGGATGATATGTTTTTGTATTACAATAAAAATCAAAATGTACCCAATCACTTGGCATTGGGTGCCCCCTGTATTGTGAAATATGAAAATGAATGGTATCGAGCTGAGGTGATGAGAGCCGATGCCACTGCCATTATTGTGCGCCACGTTGATTTCGGTTACGAACAAAAGGTCACCAAGAATTTGTTGAGTACCATTGCCGAGAAACATTTGAAGCTACCACGCCAGGCTGTGCAATGCTGCCTGAAGGGATTCGAAAATAATGAATTGAGCAAAGATTTGGCCACAACACAATTTGAAATGTTGGCCGAAGAATCAAATCGTGAACGTCGTTCATTTACCGTCAAAGTATTCCGCATTCAGCCGGATGGTGTTAATTTGGTTAATCTCTGCACCAAGGATTTGAATGTTATGAAGAAGTTATATAAACTCTCAATGCCATTCGAACAATATTTGTCATTGGAAAAGGAAGATTTCAATGTACACAAAACAACAGCGGTGATGCATGCAGCAGCAGCTGAAAATGGTCATGCCAAGACGCCGTCAATAGCTTCGTCTACAGACATGAACTCGGTGCATTCCAGTAAGAAGGGTCAAATTTTGAATTCGACCACGGTGCATAGTGAGGAATTGCGTATGCAAAATAAACAGAAGCATCAGCAGCAACAACAACAGCAATCGCAATATGCTCAGCAGCAGCGTAACAATCAAAGTTTCCAGGGTTCGGTTTCCACCACCGAGTGGGATAAGAATAGCTCTCACAGTTCAATGGCTGAGACAAGAGATTCTCGCTCAACATCCAGTGATTTTAAACCCAATCAACAACAGCAACCCCAGCAACATTCGCAACGTAAACAATATTATAAAAATTATCCCAATCATAAACAGCAGCAACAACAACAGCAACAATATCAACAGCATAGCTCCAATAATTCGGTGGCAAGTGATAAACGTAGCAATGCCAGTAATTACAGTAGCAACAAGATGATGTCAGCCAACACCCCACCCAGATTCCAGAATAAACAAAAGCAGCAGCAGCAACAACAAAAACAACAGAGACCACAAAATGCTCCACAAGGATTCTCGCAGAATCAGTTGAAACAGCATAATCAACAACAACAGCAGCAGCAGCAACAACAAAAGCAGCAACAGAACAACAAGTCATTCAACAGTGAAACATCCAAAAAATCCACAGATACTTCCAGTGAAACTTCAAAGAAATCCCAAGAAAATGCATCCACAAAACAGCAACAACAACAACAAAAAGAAGCACCCGTATTTAACTTTGTACCCCTCAACAAGGCATTCCCTGTGAAGCCATTAGACACACCATGCCGTGAAGAAGTTATTATATCATGGTGGATATCACCACATCAATTCTATACACAATTAAAATCACGTTCCGCTGAATTTGAACGTTTCATGAAAGAAATACAACAATTCTATAGCAAGTTGCCATTGCAACAATTGCAATTACGTGTTGGATCCTATGTAATGGCCCGCCAACGTAAGGATAACATTATTTATCGTGCACGGATATTAGCCTGCAATCAAATGTTACGGAAGTATAAAGTCCACTTTGTTGATTTTGGTAATATGTACACCGTCACCTCGGAGGATATATGGCCGGTGGAAAAGAAATTTGCCGATTTCCCCATTATGGCCTATTTGTGTGGTTTCGATGGCATTGTATCGAATTATGATCATTTATACATCATTGATCGAATGGATAAGTATTTGCCACAGGGCGTTACCCTGCAATGTGAATATATTGAAAAGAATACACAAAACGATTTGTATTTCGTTAATGTTATGGTCAACAAGGTGTCGCTCAAGGAGACATTGAAAAACGAGAAATTGATAACCGAAATTTGTCCAGGTAAAGTTGTAGTATTCCCATTTTCTGACATGGTTTTATTTATAAATACGTATTTTTTGTTTGTTTTTTAGAATTACGTTTGGAATTATTGGCTGGCCAACAGATACGTGCCAAAATATCTTCCATCAAAGATATGCTTAACTTTAAAATTGAATTACCTTTCTATGGCTGTGATAATATCAAACACATTGAGGTCTTGTGTTCCTACGATGATGTACGTTTTGTTAAATCCAATCAGGATATTGCCAAAAAATTCAAACAATTCTATGTGGGCAAATCGTGTGTTTTCAATATCAAGGATGTCAATGATAATAAAGTGTGAGTATGAAACGATTTTCCTTTTTGAAATAATACATTTTAGACCTCATTGAATATTTATTGACTCGGTTTTTTGAGGCTAACAAATTATATTTTCGACACGGTTTCCACAACCACCTATATATTTTTATATATGTAGTATATTTTGAGCATTTAGGCACTAACTAATAAGCACGTATCCTTTTTATTACAGAATTCTTCTGCGACCGCTGCTTCCCTTACTCAAAGAGGATATACCCTGGTATATTTGTACTGCCCCCATTCTCTTGGATACATTTAAGATTCGCGTGGGCTATGTATCGACAGCATATCGTGTCTATGGACAAATTATTGCTACCGAAACGGAAATGGCACAACTTTTGGATGATATGTACAATCATTATGAAAATCAAGGTAAAATCCTTCCTTCTCCTACCTCATACCAAAAAATTCTAAAATCAAAATCTAAAATCAAAAAATCATTTCCCATAGGTACCCTCCTACAATCCTTTGAACCCGAAAAGGTATGTGCCGCCAAAGGCAGTGATGGCAATTGGTATCGTGGTCGCATTCTAAATAACAAAACTGCCGATGGCCCTGTGGAGGTCCTATACATTGATTATGGCAACACCGAAATGGTCGAGAAGAAAGACCTAAAACAATTGGAAGAGAAATTCTATTTGAATAAGAATGCCTATGGTGTGGAAATTAATTTGCCGATGAAGACGCTATCGGCTGAAATGCAACAAAAACAAAAGGGTAAAAAATCAGGAAATAATCAAGCAGCAACAAATGGAGCTACAAATGAAACCGACATTGCGGTCATTAACAAATTGACCAGCCTAACATTGGACCAGGAGATAACCGTAAAATGTCTGGAGGTGAAAAATAATCATTTAATTGCTGAATTGATAATGGCTGATGGTCGTAACATGATTGATATGTTGAAGGGTGAGAAATTGATTAAATCACGTGATTTGGACTTTATGCGTAAACTTTTGGAGAAGGAGAAACCAAATCAATTGGAATATATTGAATGTGTGGATTTGACCATTGAAGATGAGGAAGAGGAATCTAACAACTCTGCTGCTACGGCTGCTATTGTGGCAGTGGTTGGTGATAAAAATAAAAATAAGAAACCAGCTTCGCCAAAGAAAAAGAAGGCAGTAAAGGAAGCTGCAGTGGAAAAAGAAATTAAACCAGTAGAAGTTAAGGTGGAAGTAACAGAGAAAAAGGCCGAACCTGCTCCAAAGGCAGAGGAGAGTAAAAAATCAATTGTTTCCGAAAAATCCAATGAAGTGGAAAAACCAGCAACTGCTGTTGTTCCTCCTCCTACTCCTGCTGCTGCACCCGCTAAAGAAGTCACCCCTACACCGGAAAAATCAATTACACCCGAACCTGTGGTCAATCCCTTTGCCGACTGGGAACATGCTGTCCTGGCCCATTGTGACAACCCCGCCCAATTCTTCATACATCCCATGGATAAGGTTAAGGATCTACAAAAACTCCAAGAAAATCTACAAATTGTGGCCAGTTCTTTGCCACCCCTGATGCGTGTCATAAACGGTGCCTATTGCATTTCCATGTACTCGGTCGACAAACAATGGTATCGTGCCAAAATCCTCGATGCCGAATTAATGGTCTTGCAGTTTATCGATTTCGGCAACACAGATTGCGTCTCCGATTCCACAGATCTCAAGGAAATGTTGGTCTTCCCTGATGTCGAGCCATTGTGTATACCCTGTGCTCTACCCATACGACCAAATGGCAGCTTGGACTGGCAAGATGCTGCCAATGGCATCTTCAATGATTCGTATAACAAAATATTGGATTATGAATTCATAACCCACGGCGAACAATTCAAAAAGAGTTATCTCAACCTATACATCGAGGGTGTAAATGTCACCGAAAAGCTTATTGAAAATGGTTATGCCAAACCATTGGAATTGGTTGAGTCGGGTTTGAATTGTTACATCTCACACGTGAATGGTATATCCGATTTCTATATCCAATATGAAAAGGATTCGAAGGGCTTGGAATTGATTGAAATCTATTTGGCCGATAACGAAAAGTTAAAGAAATTGGAGAAATTCGAAAAGAACAAAATTGTGGCTGCCCTCTTCCCCGATGATGAAATGTGGTACAGAGCCAAGTTGTTGAGACAGGTGCCAGATGGTTATGAAGTCCTCTTCATTGATTATGGCAATACAAGTATCAGTCCCGAGTGTAGAGAAATTTCCCAGGACATTGCTGAATTGCCACCTTTGTCAAAGAAATGTGCATTGGAAGTACCGGAGAATTGCAAATCCTGGTCCGATGCGGCAGAACAGAAATTCATGGAAATTGCTGACACCGGTGAGACAATCTTCAGTGTTGAATTACGTGAACCAGCCAAGGATCACGCCATTGTCCATTTACTTATTGATGGCCACAACATCAACAATGATCTGCAGGAGTTGTGTGAAAAGAAACCTCTGGCCGAAACTGGTGCCGACTTGATGAACACCAGTTTCAACAGTTCATCTTTGCAGACATCTGTTTGTGAAACGGAATGCTATCATGCCTTTGTGTCACATGTCAATTCACCGTGCGATTTTTATGTACAATTTACACGTGACACTGCTCAGCTGGAAGAGATGACTCAGGTGTTGAATTCCACAAACATGGAGGCATTGGAAAAACCGACAAAGTTACAACTATGTGCCGCTGTCTATCCCGAAGATAACTCGTTGTATAGGGCACGTATTGTGGAACTGTTGCCAGAAAACCAATATCGTGTTTTGTTCATTGATTTCGGTAACGAAGCTGTGACCAGTGAATTGAAAACTTTGCCCCAGGATTTATTGAATATTAAGAGCCTGTCGACCCATTGCCAATTGGAAAACTATGCCAAATTTTTGCAATTTGGTTCAATTGCCACTGAGATTTTCAATAATTTAATAAATCAATGGGAGGGCCAAGTGCGTGTTGGTATGATCACTGAGGCTGAGGGTAATGTTCCGGCCATTGTTAAAGTGTTGGCCTTGAATGGCAATGAAAACCTCTGCGATTTACTGAACAAACAATTGGGTTTGGATCACAACACACAAACAATGACCCAAGAAGCTGTGATGACCGAAGAAGAACTGCTCAAGGCCAGCAAAACCTGTCTCATCTCCCATGCCATATCACCATCACATTTTTACATACAACTTAAATCGAATTCCGGAAAAATGGAACAATTGGCCAAATCACTGAGTGGTCATAAAGTCAAGTCGGACTGTGTCGAGTTAAAACAAGCCGAATTGGGTATGGTTTGTGTCGTCTTTTCCACCGAAGATGATCGTTATTATCGTGGACGCATTGAAAAGATATTGGCCGATGATAAGGGCTATGAAGTATTCCTTTTGGACTTTGGCAATACGATTGTATCGACGGATATACGCGAAATGTCGGAGGAGCTAAGAGCCATACCCTCAATGGCCTTGCGTTGCCAATTGAATAACATTCCCTCAAATGTCAGTGAATCGGTGTTGGAGGAACGTTTTGCCACTCTCATAGAAAGCCACTTTGGTGATTATTACGACATTGAAGAAGATGTGGTAGCGGATGAGGAATCCCGTCTCCACATCGTGAAGTTGCAAGTCAATTACAAAGATTTAGCCGAAGAGTTACAGAAGGCTGTGGAAAGTGATGCAGCCGGCATTGAGGAAGCATTCTCACCCCTACCCGAATTACATGATTGCAGTATCATTCATGTCAATTCACCACAATCGTTCTATGTTCAGCTGAGTAAAGACGTCTCTGCTTTGGAAAAGGTCACTGATGTTTTGCTCGATGCTGAAAGTGATTTTGCCGAATTTACCGATATTAGTGTGGGGGCTTTGTGTGCTGCTGAATTTCCCGAAGATGGTGCCTATTATAGAGCAGAAATTGTTGCCCTCTTGGAGGATAATAAATGTGAGGTGCATTACATTGATTTTGGCAACAACTCCGTAACTGATAAACTGCGTAAATTACCCGAGGATTTGTTGAAATTGGAACGTTATAGCAAACATTGTTCATTGGATTCCACCTGTCCTCAAACGGCTGAGGTACAGCAACAATTTGCCCAATTTGTTGATACGCGATTCTCGGAAACATTCCAATTGGAATTTTTGAAATCCAGTGATGCTCTGAATATTGTACGGCTGTTCTATCAGGAAAAGAATGTCATCCAGGAATTGCAAAATCAGATGATGAATGGTGGTGGTGCTGCTGATGGTGGCAATGATGCCAGCAGTGGTTTGGGTACCTTGAGCAATGGTTTTGACGAGGGCATTGAACAAGAACAAGCAGAAAAGCCAACAAATGGTGATGTGGCGGAGGCTGCAGAAACCGAAGAACAAAAACAAGAGCAATAAGGAAAATAGATATTTTGTAAGAAAAAGACAAACAAGCCATATGCAAATGAAAAACAAAAAAGAAATTGAAATGAAGGGTTTCATTGATAGAAAAAAACCCACGTTTATAAAATGAAAATGCTAAAGAAGAATACAAAACGAGAATAAAATGGGTTATGGTTCCCATGACAAAAAGTAAAAGAAATGCCAAAACGAGGAATTGCAATAATTTGAATTTGTTTTTAAATATTCCTCATGGAAAATGGACTGCTGATGATCGATCATAAATGAAAAAAATAATAATGTTGGTGAAGAAAACGAATGCAGCTGCTGCAGTGCTGCCAAGTGTTGAAATCAAAGATTTAATATCTTGATATAATTTTTATTTATTTTTTTTTAAATATAAATTAAGAAATGTTATATTTTCTTACTACTACAAATAATATGTTGTGTATGTATGTGTGTAACAACATGACCTTCTAAAAAACTGAATGAATGAATGATAAATCTAAATACGAATAAATTTCTTATGTTATTGTTTTAAACAATATTTAAAAAAAAAAATACGATCATGATAAAAAATCATCCAGATCATATGGATCTGGAGTAGCTGAAACTATTTTCTCTGGATATGTTGCGACCAAAAGAAGCTATGTTGGTTTCTCATTTTAGTTTCAAGCAATATTTTTTTTGAATTTTATTAACTAAATTTGAAATTGAAACCCAAAATGTAAAGAATTGTTTTAAAAATTGAATTAATTTTTTTATTTATTTTTATTGATTGTTTTGTTTTGTAAAAAAATAAAATTCAATTTTTGGGGATTTTTAATAATTAAATATTTTTTTATTAAATATTTATCGAATGAAATTCAATTGAGATATATTTTTTTATTTTTTATTGTGGTTTCTGGAACCCATCTTGGCATTGATCCGAACGGAAATTTTTAATTTTTCAATGGCTTGCATATGTTTTATTTGTATTTCTTGATTCGAGAAAAACGAAACAATATTCTTAAATGAATTTTTTAAAATTTTATTAAAGTAAATGAATAAAGAATAAAAATTTTCTAATGATAGTAATTTAGAACCTTTAAAAATATCTTATACATATTTTTATTAAATTATGTTGTTCATTTTTTAACTATGTATTGTTTGAAACTAAAATAGAGAAAAATGGAATTACTTTTGTTCTACAATACAGAGAAGACGTTTAAGAGAATAAGAAAGAGATGGAGAAAATTATTATTCCAAATCTTCTCTCTTGAATTTCAAACCATCAAAAAGAGAAATGTATTTGAGTTTGGCATATTTTTATTATTATTAAAAAAAGGCATGCCTCCTAAAAGTAGGCAATGGCAACAAGCAAACGAAACGAATGAAATTTCAAGCAACTGGTAAAGGCAAGACGACGTCGGGGCTAATGAATTTTCCTTTACTAAGAACAACAACAAAAAAACTACGTGTGATAAATTATTTGAGAAAACAAAAATAAAATTGAATAAGAATTTTTATTTTCAGATTTTGGAAACGATTTTTTTTATTTAAAAAAAAAATAAAAAGAAATAAAAGAGAAAAATTAAAGCCTTACAAAAGAGGTTTTGTGTGTCATGACCTCTTTTGAATTAATTTATTTTCTGTTTTTGGAATAAAAAGCAAAAAAATTAAAGCCTTAAAAACGTGAGGTTATGTTTTGAAAACAACCCCCAAGAAAAAATAAACAAAATTTAGTAAATAAGAAAATTAAAAAAAAACTTTATTTTTTTTTTTCTAAATAATGTATGTGGATGTACCTTTATAAAAATTATATAAAACTAAGCAAAAAATATTGCAGCTAATATTTTAGTAGTTAAACTACTGCTTACTTTTTTTTAGTAGTCAACAAAAAAGAAGCAAAACGAAATTTTTGAGATTGATTTGAAAAAATAAAAAAACTTAAGAAAAAAACAATAAAAATTAGGAAACTAAATAAAACAAATACGGAATATTTCTTAAAGAAATTTCATGGAAAGTATTAATTTAATAAAATCTAAAAACAAAAAAAAAAAACTTTTTATAAGTTTTCATTTGGAAAACAGGAATTTAATTTTTTTATTGATATTGTTGAGTTTTAAAAAATCAAAATTAATATTAATTTTAAGAAAGAAAAAGAAAACGAACGACATATATTTTAATAACAAAAGAAAAAAATATATAAATAAAACAACTAATACAAAGCATTAAAATAAATGTGCTCATTTTTTATTACAAAAAAAAAGATAAAAAAAAATAAAATAAATTTTTCAAAAAACAAAAGGATAATCGTATATATTGCTCATAGGAATTAAATGAAAAACTAAGTAACTAAAATAAAATAAAACTATAGCCTAGATCTGTAAAAATCAAATGGCCTGTTCCCGTACTGCAAGAATCTTCTAATTTTTAATATTTTTTCCGATATCATAAAGGAATTGGGCATTCTTGCAGGTTCTGGAAATTTGGGTGCCCGATATTTGTAATTTTGCATATAAGCAACTTATGGCAACACCATTTTGAATTTGTTTTAAATTTTTACAGATATATGGGCCACTTTGCGATAATTTTAATTTGAAACACAAGAGGTTGATATAATCGTTTTTTTTTTAATTTATTTTTTTATAATAAAACAAATAATACAACAACATATAACTTATTATTTCTTTTAATATATTTAATAATAACACAGAATTGTTTAATTTTTATAATAAATTTTTGTTAATTCGTCTTTAATTAAAATAACTATTTCAATTAAAACAACTCTGTATTGTGAATTTTTTTATTTATTTTTCTATCATTATTATTAGTTAGTTAGAAGAAATTTTGTTAATTGTTTTTATCCACCACCCAACCAACCAACAAACAATATCCCAATATAACACTCAATAAATAGCATAAAATGTACACCGCTACAACAACTACTATCTAATACTATCAAAAATTAGTAAAACAAAAATAAAATAAAAAACAAAAAGTTCATTATATAAATGTGTAACTAATGTCTTCTAATACAAACTCCGTTTGTTTTTTTTAACAACAAAAAATATATAACAATATACCAATTACACTATATACATATATATCATATATCACAGTGCTAAAACTAAAAAATAAACATATTTTGTATAAAAAACAATAACAACAAATTGTATAATTGCACCATAAAACGGCAATATATATCGTATATGAAGAAAAAAAGCCAAACAAAAAAAAATCCTATAAAATATAAATCCTAAAAAAATGTAAAAAAAATCTTGAAAAAAATAAATAAAAAAATTCTATAAACTGAACAAAAAAGGTAATTTGAATTGATTTCTTATACAAATATTAAAGGTATTTTTTTCAAAAAATTAAGTTGTTCGATACGTTATAGGTTGTGTCATCCATTCTCTCTCGCTGCAGCTCGATGCGTCTGACAATGCCGATGTCCGAGAATGAAGGGTACAACTCATGGTTCATTCGACGGAGATCGGCCCATAGATCTTTCGAAGAATTTATCTCTCCTTGGCCACAAAATTAACGTGGAATAGGAATGTTGAGGAATCTTGCTCAAAGAAAGGACTGTTAGCACTCTACTCTTGCAAAAACTCCATAGAAAAGAGCTGCTGGGGACTAAGACCAGAGATCACACACTGGCCCATTCTTACATATGGTTGCCTTGTATGGTGGCATGGGGCCAACAAAAAGATACTGCTGAAAATATTAAATTCAGTACAGCGATCGGTTTTGATCCTGACTACCTGAGCGCTAAGAAGTACACCACAGGCAACCTTGAATGTGATCTTTAATCTCCAACCACTGGACATTCTGATTAAATTCCTGAGGAAATCGCTGTACTATGGTCACGGTACTATCCTCAACATAACGCCAGGTTGTGATTTCCTAAGGAGAAATACTCACATCAGTAATTATGTTCCTTCTCATAGAGACTTTAATGACATCAGAGTAGAGTTTCCTAGTAGCTAATCCTGGACTAGTGGCTCCTTACTCTGCCAGGTCTATAATTTTTCACAGACGGGTCAAAGATGGAGGAAGGCACTGGTGCAGGCGTTTACTGTAGGGAATTATAAATATACAACTCATATAATATTTACAATTTTTGTAGCGTTTTTTAAGCGATCACGAAAGCGGCCGAGATAGTCAAAACACTTACTGCCGATAATACGGGACCGGTGACTATATATGTCGATAGTCAAGCGGCCCTCAAGGCTTTGAAGTCGTGCACTATAAACTCAAAAGTAGTTTTTGATTGCAAGTCCGCTCAGCATGATATACAACGGATAGTTAATTTATGTTGGGTTCCAGGACATAGCAACATAGAAGGGAACAAGATAGCCGACGAGCTTGCTCGGGCTCACAATCGTCCAATCTTCCGGTTGAGCTATTGGCTATTTCATTGGCCAAATCCGCTTGTTCTACGGTAACAGATGGTCGAGAGAACCTGGTTGAAGAATCTCGTCTATGTGAGGACGAAGAAGAGCTAGAAACAATTGAACGTATCCTCTGTATATGTCCATCATTGAGTCGCAGAAGACATAAACAGTTTGAAAGATGTGAAATCTAGCTTTCTTTTCTAAAATAGACCCCAATCAGATCATAGGCTTTGTCAAAAAATCTGGCATGGCTAAAATAACCATCTCTACTTCTCCTACTATTTTCTCTCCTCTTCCACTCTCTCTTCTTTTCCCCGTTTCTTTTCAGGTATCAAGGAGGATCACAATGGACAATAGTCTCCGAGTGAACGGTTGTTACTAACAACCGTACATCCCTAACCTATCTCTCAAACACTCCAAGAGCTGCCTCATCTGCTTGCGCAAGTACCCATGCTTCTGATTCACACAGCAGCACGGGTAGTATCAGCTTCTTGTAGAATGTGAGTTTGGTATTATCTGTTGGCCAGCACTATTCTCGTCCGAATTTCAAAACTGATGTCATTAGTTTTATTTATGGCGGTACCAAGGTATATACAATAGTACCTCAAAGCTGTAGTTCTCAAGATCCATAGTTGG